CGGAACTCACTGATATTCATATTACTCATTTGAAATCACTACCAGATCAGCCCGTTCAGTCGTTGGGAATTCAAACGAGGGCAAAATAAAGTGCTGAATGTTTTTATTCTTTCCACATCTTTTTACAAAATTTTCTACGTTCAAATCCAATTGACAACTATTTCTCCGTTTCACAAAGAGTATTCCGTACAAAAGAGGCGCATTAGCATCCTTTTAATGGTTGCTTGACACGTTTTAAAACTGCTTTTATGGCTGTTTGGCGATAGTAGACATGACAAATCCGTACTGGGTTTTGTTAAGTTCGTATATCGGCATATCTGAACCTGCAGTGGATACAGATAATCTTGAGTATTCGGTGGATACATATAGGTTTCAGTATAACGAATGGGTGTTCAATGAAAGCATAGCAGATAAATAATTCCCTTTTGAAGCAAAATTGGTAACAGCTATAAAGAAGCACTTGAAATAATACTGCAAACACATGATATTGAAAAAATATACAATGCTTCAGTATTTCACTAGTGGAAGACTTCAAGGACTACAAGTAAAATGTGTCCGATAAAATAGGGGCACTGGAGACTTTTACTGCGGTTACACACCTCAATATTTCAAACTATATGGGAAGACAGTAAATGATGACTAATATGCAAACTTCTTGAAAACGCATTTGCGAAGAGCCATGAGAAGAAAATACCAGATTTGCTCAAGGAACAAAGGTTTTTTTCTCCAGGATAACACCTCGGCGCATGTTATTGTTGTGTCATCGCAGCACTGCATGAATTTGATGGGACAGCATCAAAATACTTGATCTTGGGGCATTATTAGTTTTGCTCATAAGATGCTGCAAAAAGTGTAACGCATTGTGAAAGACTATATCGAAAAAAAAACAGAACAGTCATTTGGTTTTTAAGAAGAAAGAATAGGTCGTAAGAGTCATCAATTAGCCTATGTATACACTATACTGGTGTTAAAATCGCATTAGGATAATTTCTGAATGCTTTTTCCACTAAGAGGAACTGGAATTTCAACCGTCGAGTTACAGAATGACAGAATGTCGAGTTACAGAATTACTTAAAACACAGGCAACTTTTCTTCTCTATTTCTTTTACTCAGCATTTATGCTCATCGCCAATACGCAAATTAATGCTTTTTATCTAATACAAAGAATTATTAGAAGATTATGCTATATGTTAGCATACTAATTAAAAGCAGATGATATGTAAAAAAGATATGTATTCATATTAATACATTTGATTTCAGTTATTAGAAACAAACATATGATAATTCCTACTTGAATGTTAGATCATCAAATTATTTTATGGGAAAAAATTCTTATAAATTTTCTTTCATTTCGGTTATGAAGAATGGTAAAATTGTTCTATTTTCATATCCCTTTTATTTAATTTTTATTTACTTTTGATTATCTCATTTTTTATTAATACAGCAAAGAGCATGTACTTAAATTTTATTAATATCTAGTTTTTCGTATAAAAGTATTTTAACTCATTACTGAAAGAGAAAAATTTCGTTCAAAATTACTTATGTCTATCGCGATATAAGAAGTTTTTAAGCTATTTAATTCCCTTATATTTATTCCTCGTTTTTGTAATGAGTATTTATTGCAATGATCTTTAAAACTACCTTTGGGGAGACAAATAGATATTTGTCGCGAAACACGTAATGGTCCAACGATGTTCTTGCGCTGATTCGAATCAAGGACCTTCTAATGCTAGCTGGAGGAGATAACCACTTACACCCCGACAGAACGCGTGTCAGATCACGATAAGTACTCATAGCCTTGAAATATATATGGACAGTAATATAAAGATATTTCCAATTATATAATTATTTGTATGTAGTAAAGATTCGTAGACAGTTTTTTAATACTGAATCAGTTGAACTCCCACAAGGCGGTAAAGCATTTCCAAATATAGACTAGCACACTGAATTCATCAACAAATATTGTAAAAGAAAGAGTGCCACGGGCATGCTGCAAAAGATATTTCCTTAGTGAAAATTAATTTTTATAAATCTTTAGTCCTGTAATATTTATTTTTTATTCTACATTCACATTAAAAAACATTTACATGCACTTCGAATGTAACAAAATATTTCTACGCATTTTGGCCATCTCATCCGATTTCAGTACATTCAGATTCCACTTTAACTTCTATTCGCTATTAGTACAAGCGCATATATATCCTCAGTATAACGTAATTACCTACCAAATTCTAATTATTCGTTTAACACAGAGACTTAAAACTAACCAAAAATAATTTCTATTTAATCTCTTTATTTTTATATTTATATTTTATATTAGATCGGAAGTTTAATACGGTCATAAGGTATTTTCTCCCTTCTTCCCGCATGCCTTCGTGGTGTCACTGAAACCACATTCAACACGTATTAGAGAGGTCCAGGGTTCGAGTCCTGGCGAGGACACTGCATATTTTTAACCTCTACTGCTTCAAAAAACCTGCTCATAGAATAAGTATACTTCAGTCGCTAAATTAAAGCCGAAACCTCAAAACTGAATTCTCTTTAATTAAAAGAAGCACATAAAGATTTCAACAAATCAGTTGTCATCAAAACTGCAAAAGTTACCTAATTGATCCAATTACAGACAATTAAATTACGTTACAAAATGCTTCTCTACCTCACTCACACCAAGAAACACATTAAAAAAGAAATTTAAAATCACACGATTTTAAGTAACAACTGCAAATGAGCGAGACGAAAAAAATATACATATATATATCGACAAAGGAAATATTAAAAAAATACATAAAAAAAGGACGAGAAATCTCCAGCATTTTTTCCAACGACGGAATAAAAACTAACTTCCTTTTTCTATCTCACTACAGCGTTCGGTGTTATCTTGGAAACGGCAAACCCGATGGTGTCGTGTTACACGCGCATCTCTTACCATAGCAAATACAAGAGGAGAAAAAAAGAGTCGCGCATATATCGCTTATACCTCCATCGTCATTAGTGGGGCCATCAGGGCCGCCGTGGAGGGCTCTCGGGCCCGCCTGATGGCCCTAATTTCTCCCATTAGCTACCCAACAACCCATTTTTAAACGCATTTCACAATCTACAGTATCTAGTTGCACTGCCATTCGAAGAAGCGAAGCTGTCTCTATATATGAAAAGGGTGGATGTGTAGTTGCGTATGTGAAGATATTTATGGATATATATCTCGACGGCGATGCAGTACAGATATTAAAGAACATAGCGAGGTTTTTAATGCGGTTCGAGAGAAGATAGAAGATAGGAACGTGAGGTCGGCGAGCCAAAAGTCGTCACAAGGTTGTAATTATTTAATTAATTATTAATCTTTCTGGAGAGCCGTTTTGCCAAGAGGCGCAATTTCGTTTTTGGTGGAATTGGACTATTCCGGCTTCCCTCTTCAGAAAAGAATCAGCATTTAGATTTGTTTCGCTATGATGGAAGTTTATGAACTTTTAACTTTTCTTTTCTTTAAACGTATTTAAAATATATTTATGAAAACTTCAGATATAAATTTTAAATATGTATCATTATTTATTAAAAACATATAAAATGAAAGAAAAAATGAATGCATTCTGACTGATGATCGTTTTAATGGTTTTACAACATAAAAATTCTGGGATTATCATTTGCTCCCATGGTAGCAGCTCCCTCAAAGAAGGTTTTTAGGCATTGATTCCTTTTGTCATTTGTGTTATGGGAAATAATGTTCCTGTTATGTTCGAAAAATAAATTTTGGTTTCTGTTTAATTTTACAACCTAAATAGGATTTAGTTTAAGTTCTCAATTTCATTTTTATAGTATGTCTCCATACTATTTTCAATTTTTTACTAAGATATATACTACTGGTGGATTGCATTTGTTCTATACATTTATGATACACATATTTTATTTTGACTAAAAGTAAACTATAAATTACAAGAAGAAAAATACAGAATGTTTCCCAAGTCAACTCGATTTTTTCCAAATCAGTTCAGGTGCATAAAAGCACAAATACTTGCGCTTCTGAAGAATACGTATAGGTTGCGGCAATTTTCCTTTGCAAAGAAAGTCCTATTAAATCTTACAAACAGAATTTTAAAAAAGTCCGATAGTGCCATTCAAAACTAAAGAAAGAAAGTAGGAAAAAAAAATGAACAGCATCTGCAAAATTCAGTATGAAAAAATGAGCTTCGATGCACCATCCGAAAGTAAAATAAAATTTCATTATGTTTTCTGAATTTTAATGTTAAATATATAGTAGGAACACGTCTATATCATTGCATGTGTATACCTACGTTGGGAATTTATATTCATTCCTATTTGTCGTGCAATGGGAAACTAATGTCATGAAGATGAGATATAACGTGAGCAGCTTAATATATATAAGCAAGGTAAGAACAGCTAACCTATAAATATATCCAGATGACAATTTTTATTCTGCATATAAGTATTCTGTGGACTTATCTATTTACTACAGATGCCCTTCGATGGCAATCAATGTTTTCTGAAGAGTCTATGGAATTTCTGTGTCTTATGGTTCCCAAGAGAATGCAGGTGGTTTCCCTGTCAAGTTGGACAAGATTGGTGAAAAGTCTCGGTTTCGCCCCGAATACCTTGTCTGAAAGCTTGAAGATTTCCTGTATGAAAGTTTGATATATTTCCTCTATGAAAGGTTGAGGATTTTAATACGAATTATAATATTTCAATTCTTATTTTTGTTACTTATATTTTCTTACCACAAACCAAAGGAACAACTAACGTTTAAGTTACAAAGCTATTCTTAGGACTAATGCTTTACCATAAAATTTTATTATACTAACGAACACTAAGCGCCATCTGGATATACATGCATTCCACACAGAAACATCTTATGCAAGTACACGATGAATGTATGAAATGTAAAGGCTCAAAGATCCAGCTGAGTCAATATTTTGTTTATGAGTAATTTTCCCTATTTAATATGAAGTGTATCTTAAGATACGCGTAGAATATGATTCAAAAGGACTAACCTGTGGTTCTCCATCCTCCGGTTCAGCATTTCCGTTGGGAGTGTCCGCAGATCTTGGCGCTTGATTGGTCGAGAGATTGATCGCGACGTCTCCGTCTTCCTCATGGTCCATCATTCCATGTCCCGTCCTAGGAACCTACAACAAGACAGAAAACATCCATAAGTCCGAGAGCGAGGCAACATAAATTCTAAAATATTTGATCCAATAGATTAAAAAACTGTCTGCTGTACCATGGGGATGAAGATCATTTAAGCATAATATATACAATATTAAATTATGTAAAACATTTTTCAAAATGATTGTATATTATCGAGCACTGATAAGGCAAAAGACCAAGAAGACTTATTCACGAAACGACAGTATATGAAAGAATAAAAACTTTTGGGGGCATGGATGTAAAAGTTCTAAAACAGCATGCCAAAAATATCCCTCAGAGAAATATAGACAAAATGTAAAATCAAGTAAGGTGAAACAAGGTATAAATGGGAGAAATGTTTGCTTACGAAGCAAAATGCAACTCAGGTTTGTCAACAATTAAAATCTTCAGTTAGAAAATATGCTGCAATGTATGATAACATGATTTATCAAAGTCTCTAGAAGGATTTGAATACAGTTATATACTTGGTAAAAGTGTCTCCTCGAACAAAAGTGCTAAACAATCAGAATATGCACATTTAGTGAAAACTGCATACAGATACTGCGGTAATACAGAAACAAATAAACATTTCTAATAACAATAAAATTATGAATCGAAATAAAGCACGGAATGATTACACAATGAAATATTTTAACGGATATTTTTAATTGTTTATGAAAGCCATTATATAAGAAAGAGGCATCACTATGTAATATAAGAGCAGACACATAAATTATGATATATCTCTGAGTAAATTTTAAATAGAATTAAGATGGCAATACATACTGTTCTTATCCAAAGAGAAACAAGGCAACGTAAAATTTTAATTTATGCTACATAAACAATATTAGATTGATGATGAAGATTTCGAATAAAATTCGTTCTTTTTTGCTTAGCCCAATGATTTTCATATAAAATAGATGTTGCTTCTCTCACCTTCGCAAAATGTATTATTATTATTTCTGAAGAACAGGTCGGATATCCCTCAAAATCGATAGAGATTTATTCAAAATCTATATAGCATAAAATTGCTTTTCTGCCTAATTTTAAACGATTCTTTTTGAAAGCATGCATCAATAAATGTAATAATTTCATTAACAAAATGAGAAAGTTAAATGTGAAACATTGTTAAAGAAGTTTCTTATAAGTTTGTACAAAAATATTTAACATTTATTCAAATACCTATTCATTTTAAATTCTATTTTATACAAAATCCAATTTTTCAAATATTAACTGCTTCCTCTTACTTAAAATATTTCAAACAACAAAAAATAAATGAAAAATTTATTAAATGATTTATTTAAAGGGACAATGTGTAAAACAATTGAAGTTTGGTTAATTTTTTAAACTTAAATTTAAGGATCTTAAGTTTTACTAACGTTTATTTTATTTTAAATCTTTACTATCACTTCTTATTTTCTACTTCCGGCCAGAATTATAAGCGTTGAACTTATTTTATGCAAAGTTTGTCTGGCGAACGCCAAGTATTTAAGTTGTGGCTTTTTGCCAAGCGAGAGAGGAAGCAGTTGAGTCGAAGCAGGCCGCTTACCTTAGAAGTTTTACGCAGTTGCTATTTGCCTTCCAGGCCAGAGGTTTTAATCCTCTTGATAAATTAAACGTATTGTAGTGTTCACAGTTCTCTGTACTACATACGGCTTCCTGTTATTATAAGGCCAATCTTATTATTCTAAAGTTAAATTAGAGTTTAGTTTTTATTTTTATACCTTTTACGTTAGACCCCCGAGTGGAGGGTCATTGTATTCCGAAGTACGGAATTCATTGTATATAAGAGAAAAATAAAGGGTTTTGTATACCCTTCGTCTGTATCCTGTCTACTTCCCTACAATTAGTGAACATAGCTTTAGTAAGCTCTCTGTTCCGAGTCAGGTCCTTGCATGTTCCCGAAGAAGGTTAGAAGGAACATTGAACCTGATAGTGGCGCCCAACGAAGAATAACCATGGCCGAGTTTCAAGAAGAACCTGTGCTGCCTGCAGAAACGGCTCAGAATCCAGAAATGCCAGCTGCCGCCCTGGAAGGATTTGGTTACATCGTCCAGACCATGCGCGCTTCGATGAAACCAGAAGCAACATTTAATGGAAACTCACCGGTAACCAGTTTTTTGGAAAAATTGGATGACCACTTCATGCTCTACCCCGTGCACGAGTTTCAAAAAGTTACCTTAGCTACCAGCGCTTTGAGGGGCCAAGCGCTTAACTGGTTCAAATGTATAGGCAGAAGTCTCTTGGGTCAAGCAGGAAGTCCCACCTATACTTACGAAAATTTCAAGACTGCCCTAGTAAAAGCCTTCCCTGTTGTAAGGGATCGTGCGAAATTAGAAACGGAACTTTTCAGTATATATCAACAAAGAATCGAAAACCTCTCAAGCTTTATTTTAAGAAAAATTCACGTTTTCAAACTCTTGTATGGAAACCGTCCGGATCCTGAAATAATTCAAGTGATTTTGCCGAGGTTACTACCCCAAGTGCAAGACTTTATTGAATTAAGAAATCCGACTACACTGGAAAAGTTATTTGAGCTAGCAATCCAGTTTGAAAGTAGAAGAACGGCGGACGTCGAAAGAAGACGCCAATATCAACAGCGAAACCAATTTGGTGCGCCAAGACTACAGCAAACTCAAGCACACGGCTACGAGAAAAAGCGAATCAGTGGGCAAGGAAACCCGAGCATTCAAAAACAGCCGGCGAACGTCGACAGTTCAATAGCAACCCAGGAAAAAAGTCTCAAGGCCAGTGGAAAAGAAGGAAAGCACCGAAAGGAAAAATAATTTAAACTAAAACGGATTTCTGCTGACGGAGGGTGCGGAAATCCGAAGGCCACGAAAACCCCTCTTCCTTACAAGTTAAATACAGTAATGGTGAAAAATTTGACTCTTCCGAAGATTGAAGTGTTGGTGAATAATATCCCAGCCACCGCACTCCTGGATACCGGCGCGCAGTGTTCCTGTGTGGCAGAAGATTTTTTTAGGAAAGTATTTTCGCAAATACCGCATATATAATTCGGATAATACGACAGTGTTAGCGGCGCAAGGAGAAAATGTAAGTGCGTAGGTAAAGTACCTTTGTACATCCGTATCAAGGACGAACAAGTAAAGGTGATGTTTTTTATAGTAAAGAATCTGCAAGCACATATTAATCTTAGGAATAGATTTTCTTTCAGAGGCACAAGCAACGCTGGATTTTAATGAAGCGTCCCTTAAGCTGACGATGAAACCAGTTGCGTGCAGAAAAGGCTGAACCGCCGAGGTTAAATCTTGACCACCTGCCTAATGACGAGCAACGATAGAATCCGACAAGTGGTAAGTGAATTTGCTTCGTTATTTAGTGATATTCCAGGATTTACTCAGGTTACTAACCATAGTATTGACACACCGGAGATTGCAATGCCAGTTCGCCAACAAACCATACCGGTATGATAAGAATAAGGAAAAAATTATAGAATGGCATATTACCGATATGCTACGTAAAAAGATCATAACGCCATCTCAAGTAGTTATGCTAGCCCGGTGGTTTTATGTAAGAAAAATAATGACTATCCTTTGGAGCATCCAAAAAGGTGGAGATTCGCGATTGATTACCGTAAATTAAACTCCATAACGAAATATCCGGTATATCCGTTACCGATTATTAGAAGAAATTCTAAGGAACATAAAATCAACCAAATTTATGACGACTTTAGACTTAACGACTGGTTATTTTCAAATAGGGGTTAGGCCTGAGGACGTGCCTAAGACTGCTTTTATAACCAAGTCTGGCACTTATGCATTTTTGCGTATGCCGTTTGGCCTTTCAGGGGCCCCGGCAACATTTCAGCGATGTATGGACATTGTGTTAAGACCTGTTCTTGGAAAGTCCACATTTATCTATTTAGACGATATCATTATTACTAGTGATAATCTCGACCAACATGTACAGGATTTAAGACAGGTGTTTTCTTTATTAAATGAGGCCGGTCTAAAAGTTAATGTCGAAAAGTGCAAATTTGCAGCCCCTGAATTAAAATATTTAGGTTACAAAATATCTCAAAAAGGGAATCGAGACAGATGAATCAAAAATAATCGCTGTACAAAAGTATCCGACTCCAAACACGGCGAAGAAGCTCTCTTCTTTTCTAGGACTTTGTTCATATTATAGGTCCTTTATAAAAGATTTTGCAGCTATCGCTGAACCATTGTTAAAATTAAAAAGGAAAAAGGCAAGATTCTCGTGGACGGCCGAAGCCAATAGTGCTTTCGAAAAATTAAAACAAGCATTAACGCAAGCCCCTGTGTTGAAATTTCCTGAAAAGGATGAAAATTTAGAAATTTCAGCGGATGCTTCGGATTATGCGGTAGGAGCGGTACTTTCGCAAAATCAGCAGCCCGTGGCATTTTTTAGCCGAACTTTAAATCAAACACAAAGAAACTATTCCGCGACCGAGAGAGAGGCACTTGCAGTTCTGTTAGCAGTGCAAAAGTTCCGAGTCTATTTTGGAAAGGCGCCGATAACAGTGTACTCTGATCATGCGGCGGTAACTAGATTGTACTCAGGGAAAAATTTATCCCCAAGGTTAATAAGATGGGCACTCAAGCTACAAGAATATAATCTGGTAATCAAGCATACCCCCGGAAAGGAAAATATCGTAGCAGATGCCCTATCACGAATTAAATAGATGAACAGGTAATACCGTAAAGGTGGCAATGCTCACAGCATGTACAATAAATTCCCGAGAAACTGTAATAACCGAACTGGGTAAGGATCCTGAGTTTGGAAGCATTTATGAGTATTTAAAGGATCCTGAAAATTTTAGCCACCAAGATATTGTGGCGATAAGAAATAGGGCGGCCCATTACGAACTAATAGATGGTCTATTATTTATACAAAAACTACGAATTCCAACAACGAATTTCGACCTGTTATCCCAGCTAGTCTTAGATTAAATATCCTGCAGGAGCTCCATGACAGCCCTTTAGCTTCTCATGCTGGTATTCGAAAAACTATCCAAC